ACTAAATTTCCTATGGATTGTTCCCTGCACCATACTCCACACTAGCATGGAGCTAAAAGAATCTCAAAGAATCAATTCGCCGTATCGAGAAAAATAAGATTTCGTTTTAGATCGAGAAACAAGATTCCAACGGGATACAAAGACGAAAGAAAAACATGTTACTGAATGTTGCATGCGACGGTCGTTTCTCGTAAGGTTTCGATTATCTTGAATCACACTTATCGGAAGAAGGGTGAAAAACTTTTCAATGGAAAAGTCAGCGACGCGCGCACTCTGTTAGGGGGGAGGATAGTGACGGAAAGTTATGCTCAAGAAACCTAGCTCACTCGCGTAACGAACGACCTTTTCTGCAGGGTGTGTCTTGAGTACGGCGTTCAGTGTGCCTAGCTCGTCATCGACGCCGCAAAAATTAGAGGAGGAACTGTACACGACACGTCGAACACCGAAAGTCCTTATCGACTTACCTGGCTACAAGTCCAAGTCCAGAACCTCGGCACCTCAAGTTTTGGTAAGAATACTACTCGACTGTCCTGAAAATAAACGTAATCGTCAATCGTTTAAATCGTTGAATGAATATTTTATTTATTTTATTTATTTTGGAAAAATACGTGCATCTACTCATATCTTCACAATCGATATACATACATGCAGGAATAATCATTTAATTTTAAATGAATTCTTGACTTTATACGTACTTTTATCACTTGTCGATTTTAATGTTCCAAGATGACTAACCAAAATTCTCTTTGTTCGTTCGTCGTTCCGCTTGAATAATGTTGACCTTTTGCTATAACATGTATCTGTTGTATAGCACATATTTGTACAGTGACAAAATTGACCTTTCGTTTCGTGGGGAACGGCCCTTAGGAACTCTTCAGGAACGACCATGTGTCCATCGACCATGTAACGACTCTTTTACCATTTCTATGAGAATTATTTCGCCAGTAATAAATTTCATTTCAATTGTACATAAACAAAATCAACCGGTGTCACCGTTGTTGTTATCATTATTATTACTATGATTATCAAAAAGTCTAAATTTCTAAATAAATCGTTAACAGGTTGGCCCTGACATTAAACTGAACATTAAAAGTAGTCTTTCGACAACTTTCACATTTTGTTATTTCCTTTATATAGAGTTAATAGCTAATATAAGTTACAGCTAATATAAGTTTTGTTATATCAGTTTCATATTTTCTAGAAGTAAAGCGTATCCTTATTCTTTGTTCTCTTTAATTCTTTGCACGATCGTTTATGTATTCCCATCTTCTTTATTTCATTGTATAGAATTGGGTTTTCACCTATGTGATTGTGACAATAAATTAAATTAAATTAAATTATCATTCGTTATTTCTAAAGACAGAAAAGAGACGGAAAAGCTTGTTGAAGGTTTATAAACGATTTTACCAGAGCTCGCCATCTTTTCGAATATCATGTCATCGTAGGATTTGCGATTAAAATAATCGATTATATATCAATGGACACAGCGTAAATTTAATTTGATTTGAAATTATGCTTCTTCTTCTTCTTCTTCTTCTTCTTCTTCTTCTTCTTCTTCTTTAAATAAATAGTTCAATCATTAAGTATAACCTGTTGCTTTTCCTACGAACTCTTCACGAATCACATACACGTTCGATCGTGCTACATTATTTCTCGATAATTTAGTAATTCGGTAATTTGGTAATTTGCAAGAAATAGATGAACAAAAGCACCGTTTTGATTATAAACCGAAACTAATAATACATAGATTTTTAGTCACGGATTTTTAATACAACAAGAAAAAATATATACACGTAAAATATCGGAAATGCAATTGTTTCTTTGTGTTGTTACGTTTAATTTTTTTAGAAATAGATATGCGAAAAAAATATTTATAAAAGGACCTACTTTTTAAATTTACCTTCTCAAAAATATGAATATTTATAAAAATCTATTACTGGGACGAAATTTAAAAGTATGAAAATGCACGCAATGCATATAACATGCAAGAATACAGAAAATATTCACAAGTATTGTACTCACTATGATATTTAACACAGTAGAATAAGCTTCTACTTCCAATTTGTTCTAGATTCCATTTGTTCAATTGCGTTCATCGTTAGAAATATAAAAATGCATAATCTAGTGCAATCTAGTGACCACTTTACGATTACTTTCATCATTGGTTTCTTACGCTTCGACTATTTATAAAAACGTAATAATCTACATTTGCCAGAGAGGGCATTTGTTTTATTTCGACATTGACCAACCGAAGACGATTTTATTTGAATATCAAAATAAAGGTAATATTTAAACTTTGCCGAATAATCGTTGAAGTGAAAAATATCGATGCGTTTTTATAGCCGGTTGAAAACTTGAACGAAGGAAAAAGTACTAGTACGATGACTTCGGAGTCAACGACGACGCACAGATCATTTTCCACGGAGCAGCCTCTTTATCGTTTGGACGGCAGTAATGGACAAGCTTGTATTCTTTTGCAAGTAGACGCCCTGATCACGGTGAAATACCGAACGAAGACTGGAGACGACGATGTAAGCGATCTAGCATGGGACATGACACGATACGACATAACAACAAGGAACAACTGTATATAGATAGAAAGGAAGAACGTATATGTTGTGTTTCTTTTTCAGGAGGCGAATATTTACGTGCCGACTTATGCCACTGTGACCGGCAATTGCGACAACCAAAATACGGTGACGATGTCGCTCAAGTGGGACGCATTTGTACTATCATGGAGCTTCGCAAAGGTAGACAGTAGTAGCAGAGTAGCAGAGTAGCATACTAGTAGCATCAGATTCTTTTTATTTATTATCTTTATATTATTATTATTATTATTATTATTATTATTATTATTATTATTATTAT